TTCGACATTGATTTAGACGCCGTGCTTTTCATGCGCCGAACCTAATGCATAATTATTTTTTAACATCATAATATGATTATCATATATTTGCATTGTAAATATTTCCAATATAATATCTTCGCAATTTGGTACGGTGCAATTAAGTTTGACGTCTAAATCAGTTTCCGATATTTTGCCGTATCTACGACAATTAGATTCGGCGCATGAGAAGTTCGCCGTCTAAACCGGGCCTAAATTACTTTGAATTTGTACTCGAGTAAAAGTAGAAGTAATTAACAATAAAATGACTTGCGTACGAGTAAAAAGTACCGGAGGCAAAACGTACTTAAGTAAAAAGTACAAAGTATCCTTAAAAAATATGTGAAGTACAAAGTAAAAGTAAAAGTAAAACTACTAATGTCCGTAGCGTGTAGGGGGTACTTCTCCATTGATGGATTGAGATACAAAAAACACAAAACAGCACATGCATTATAAAATTAATATACAATATTTCACAGCATGGTCTACTTTCCAGACCCTGTTGAAGATATAAGAACCATTAAATAAGTAATGCTTATAAGTAAGCCAGAAACAAGAGATCCCAGACGCATGTAGAGGTCGTATTAGCTACCCAAAATTAAAATAAATCGGGAATAAATTACGTAAAATTAAACAAAAGTTAGAAAGTAACGAAATACTTTGCCACCAAATGAAAGTAAAATGTTACTTCTTAAAACGACTTCGTTCCAAGTAAAAGTACTCCAGAAAACGTTTACTTTGTTACATGTTGACTTCTCAAAAATAGTACTCAAGTGCAGTAACGAAATACATTTACTTTGTTACTTGACACCAGTGGATAGCGTCGCAAATAACAAAATCGCATATTCTAAGAAAACACTGCTAGAGGTTAAGCTGACTAAGCTGTATATACAATCTTTATCTATTCTCGGTAGTCTTTATCTGTCTATCTAACTATACAACGCTTTGTATCTAGGGAACAAATGGTTCCGGAGTTTCTTGGCTAGAAATAACAACGTCCGTCTGAAGAGTATGCTTCCCCGTGATAAGAAAATTGCCAAGACCTCAACTTCAGATTCAAATGGGCAGTTTTTTGATTATGAGAAATTAATTCAGGAACGTGGCCTTGCGGACAGTCCGACCCAAATATGGAAATGTATTGAGACTAGTTTTGACTTACAGGGAAGGCATGGCAAGATCACAGGCATCTCAGAAAAACCATACAGGGACTCAACTGACACAAAGGAGCAGCTTACATTACTAACATGTTTCAATGCTTGCGGGCAATGGATTCCGCCATACATTGTTATTCCTGGCAAAAGGGTGCCAAAAACGTACAATCCTTTGGAGGGCGGTGTCCCTGGTAGTACATTTTCTGTAACAGAGAAAGGCAGCATGGATGCGTCTGCCTTCTATTTGTGGCTTGATGACCATTTTATCCCAAACATACCACCTCGCAGACCTGTTGTGCTACTTGTGGACAGTCACCACTCGCATATTAATCCAGGAGCTTTTGAACTGGCCAAGAAGAATTGCATTGAGATATTTGGGGTAAGTTATGCAAAATTTCTCATTGTTGTCAAAATTATGTCAACACTCAAGGTAATACCAGTCTATGGTGAATACGGTTATACGAGAGCCTGCAGTTGCATTTTTCACATCTGCTCAGTTTCGGATGAAAGAATGTTTATCGCTCGAAAATCCTATCTATTTGTAACCAAAATTCTTAACAATATTTCCCTAACAAGACACAGGCATTATTCTGTAGTTCAGTGATTAGAGAGCTTGTAATTAGTGCTCCTGGTTTGGTATAAAATATGTATTTCACTCGAAAAAGCACATATTATCATCAGGATGTTTTCTTCTAGAGTACAAGTCTTGTTGGTGAAATGGCAGGTGATGGCTTTTCTCATGTTATGAAGAAAACATGGTACAAGGTATTTTCTCACTCTATACTGTTGAGAGTTCATCAACAACCTTAATTGTATACCACAGAGCCACCGAGTCAATTCCGAATCAAACGTCCCAGTCACGTAAAAAAGACGAAATTGAATAAAATTCACAATCGAATAGGGTTAGGAGTAGTGTTAGGGTTAGGAGTAGAGTTAGAGTACTAAGTCATTTAACTACAAAGACTGCTAAACAGTGACTTGGACATTTAACTCGACTCGGATTTGACTCGGTTAACCGACAAACTCGCGACTTCGAGGGTGGAAACTTTGCTACAGCCTGCGACTTAACGAGTTAACAAAATTTTCTCCCTCAGTTGTATAATGGTTGACCATCATCTGCTCATTCTGCTGTGGTATTCTTGACTTGCAATGCAACTACTTGAATGGCAGCCATGTTGGTTGCATTTCAACAAAAGAACCTCATTATCTTTCATTGAATTTGGCACCAACATTTTATTGTTTTTCAATTCTCAAGGGATACGTTCATGCCATATTGTCTATTCAATAATTGTTTTATTTTTGTTATTAAGAATGAAAGCAAGTATAGCAAGAAGAATCCCAACGTGGACATCACGAAGAAGAACTTCTGTTCTGTGTTGAGGTCAACATGGGAAGATGTCATGCGACCGAGAATATTGACCGATGCTTTCCATCAATCTGGCTTGTACCCTCTCGATAAAACACCAGTTCCTGATGATCACCCTGAGACGTATTCGTCAGCGGCACCATGTTCTCCTTCTTCATTGGTGACCATGGCCACATCTGAGGTGGTAGCTGTTGTTGAAATTGATTCAACAATATCTGAAACTGTTACACACTCCTCATCAGAGCAACAATGAACTTCCCTTAGCTACAACTTTTTCTTCAACACGCAACCTTGTTCCCCGGGCTTTCTATTGGGAAGGAAGAGGCGAAATTAAGTTAAGGTCGCTTGTGAACAGAGATTGGCTGATCGCTTCTGAAATGTGATTGGTTGGTTACCCCGTATTATGCGAATATTTTGTCGAATAATTTATCATAAAACCATTGATTGTGTTGAGAAGGAGCGTGGTTTATTGCAACTATATTTTGATATACCTTTCCGTAAAGAAAGCCCTGGGAAAATGGTTGTCCAACAATGTCCAACAACGGATGTCATACACAAAATGGCCAGTTCTGTGCAGAATGCAAAAAGTTCAATTCTTCACTGCAAATCCGCTGGAAAATGCCAGCCTGTGTTACTGGGAGAAAATGTGCTGAATAGGACCAGCACATGTTGAATTGTCATCCAGTAATGGAGTACACGGCAAAAAACGCCAAGCGCGCTGCTCAAACGTTTGCATGGCGATAAAACATATAATAGTTTTGTTTGTGGAAACACCACGTAAATTTATTACTGCAAAGCTTTATAGGATTGAACAATGTTTTGCTGCCCACGTTGTTCACACTTGTCAACAATATTGAACAATATTGTTGAGCCTGAATCGGATGTAACAATATTGTTCAATGTTGTTGACAACTATGAACAATGTGGGCAGCAAAGTATTGTTCAATCCTGTTTTCGTCAGTATTGCAACAACCTGAGTGTTTTTACGCGTGTAAATAAAGTAAGGTAAACATTTTATTTCATGATGGAGACGTATAATAGTTATCTAACATACAGCTCTCAAAATGTTACAATATAACGTAAAAAAAGTAAGATTATTCAGTAAAACAAATATAAATTTGACTTATAAAATAATATTCTATTCCGCGTCCCGCCTCTCCGCACTCACGTATCCGCATACGAAGTTGGTATCCGCCAACCACTTCCGCCAACTTTTCTTGACTCGGAACCAGTGCTCGGAAACTGTCGGAATATTTTCCGGGGGGTGTGAGAGAGCCACGTCAGACAAGATGGCTGCAGAAAAATAAGAATTTGATTGAGCATGATTTTATACTCGCGAGGAGAAATAAATGGAAAATAAATGGCAAGAGCAACACAGTCGTCGGATCTGGAGTTTCACATAAGAAATAATTATCCATGGTCCAAACTACCACCTAGCGTTAAACAGGTATAAATTTTCACTTTTGTCGCATGAAACTATAAATATCGCTTTCACACTTTCAATCTTTCATACAGTAAAGTATTACAAAATATAATTTATTTGATATTCAAAGTAGTTTATATTGCTGTTGTATTTTCATCTCTTGATTTCTATACAAATATTTATATTGCAATTCATTTGCGGTTAATATTAAATCGCTTTTTATATTAAACCTTTGTAATTGTAATTGTTATTTTAATGTAAAAAGTTGCATATTAATTATTATAAAGTGTTTAAAGTTTCCTGGATCTAGGCCAAATCTTTTGAAAGCACCCTAGAGTGTCTTTTTATTGTGGTTGTACTGATGTGGTATAACTCTAACCCTTATTTCAGTTATTTTTCCAATTTGCTGCCAAAAGTTGCATTGGGCGCCAGGGTGAATTCCATGTAAACTCCACGCCGAAGATACGCCAGTATTAACTATAGATAGTATTGTAATTTGCCAAACTCGTGTCGGATATCTTTGCACTTTTGTGCACAGAATGCACCCTGGATTAGGCGACCCTACAGTCTGCATGACTACTATCGGCAACACACTGGTGCCCGCTAAACTGCGGTCTATCCAAGCTCCTGCCTGGTTCAGATCAGATCTTGGTAACCAGGCCAGCCTGGTTGCCCATATAAATGCAAAGTAATTTCTGCTGTAAAACGTAATGTATGGCAAGATCTCACTTGGTGAATTGTCCCGGCGCTACCCATTCCAGAGGGCAGTTGTACAAAGGCCGGATCATGCTATCCACTTGTGGAAACTGACTATTTGAAACATTGTAATAATGTTTAAAAAGCTATGAAATTATGGCTCTCGCATTAATGTGATGTGTTTCATAACAAAACATCCTTGCAGATGTATGTAGTATTATATTTATGTTCTCAGATTTGTTTCTGGCTTTAGTCTCTAGGTAACAGTCAACGAGAATGGGAAAGGAATGTATTTGAATTTAGTGTCGAGAACCAACTTCGATATAAGGGAAATTTGGGTAAGTATCAAAACTAGTTGATCCGGCAATTATTGTCTTGACACTCGTGTTCTACTAATGACTGTTTCATTTTTAGTTCGTCATGTTAGAAAAGATCAGAAAAAGTATTATGAAGATTTGTTGTCCCATAGCAGGGAAAACTTGATGGTATGAGTTGTGGGTTGACAAGGTGATGGGCAATAGTGCCCTCCCCCCCCCCCCCATTTTCTTCTAATTTTTCCAAATCAACGAAACTCCCTCTAAGTCTGTTACTGTTTTGTCCCACTACATTGCATTTAACTTTATTGGTGACTGATTTTAATAGGCTTTTGTGGGTGACTAATACTTTTGCTTGTTTTCCAAACAATCAAAGAAACAAGCGATCTTTGAGCGAGTTTGCCATAACCATAACATGAACCTATCGAGTGGCAGCACTCTCTCCTTGACGAGTAGGATTGTCTGGCATTAGATAGAGTAAAATATTAAAGCAAGGCACATCAGGTCACATTGCCACTCCAAGAGTGAAATACACTTGTAACTTCATGAAACCTTGCAAAATCCAAGAATATCAAACTGCAATTTAATTTTTCAGGAGCCACCTTGATAAGCTGTTTGAAATTTTTGAACAACCCAAAGTGAAAAATTACTTGATCTGTTTGTTTTAGCTTTACCCCTACCACTTGGCAGATGTGATCGTAAAAGGACTAAGAATTACGCCATTTGGTTTTTACATTGAAATGATGAAAGATGTCATGTCGAAAGAAAAAAGTTATGATTCATTGCCAAATTTTGCTGCTGCAGACTGTAAGTTTTTACTGGATCTAGAAGCATTCCTCTTTCAAATAATCCCTCACCCTGATAAGGTCCCTCTCTAATAGGCCATTCATTTGGAGGAACAAATCTATTTAACCCCTCACCAACTCTGCCCCAGTCTCTCTATTACGCTTCCTACATCCCTCTTCACAACCATGAAAAACACATGTAGGGGTTTCCCTCCCACAGGGGAGGGGGGGGTATTAATCAGGTCGGAATTTGTCCTGCACATTTGAGATATCAAATGAGTAAAAAATCATATTTTATTCCTTGTAGGTCTTCGTCTGTTAGGTATTGGTAGAAACCAGTATATAGATTTGATGAATCAATGTAGATCTTCTCGAGTAAGTATTGTTTCATTAATTTTGTATATTTACAATCACATTGAATGCCCTTCCTTAGATGGTAGGAAGTGACAGTGTTACAATATGGATAACTTTTGATGTAGAAATTCTTCCGTAAACGTCCAGTGCGGGATTTATTACCGATGAAGCCAGTGTCTTTGAAAGTTCTGGATCCTTGGTGGACTGTCCAAGTTGGTTTTGTTACAGAAGATGACGTCAAGGTAAAACCTCTCGATTTTCAGATGTTTTGGCAAACACATTAGATAATAAACAATTATTGAATGAGGTTGAGTAGGATATGAGGAATTATTAAGGCCGAGGTTTGTTAACTGTGCACTTTTTGCCTACTTTTTCGTACCTAACATACCATGTCATCTTCCAGGCATGTTCACAAGCTGAACATGATGTTATTGATGAACTTATTGACTTGGATGGCAAACCCAGGTGTGCTGGTGAAATGGACAAAAATATTGTGCAAAGTAAGGCATGCTTCAGTGTATAGGATTAATGCCTTGATGAGTTGTATTTGAATGTATTCTTCTGTTTAATATCACTTTATTTTCATCTTAGGTCTTTACACAAAGGGGTTCATTTATCTTGATGTTCCAATTAATGATACTGACTGTATTGTAGGTTTGTATTGTATTATATAACATTTTTCACAATTCCTTAATTTAAGCAGACAAATTTTCACTTCCCCCCCCCCCAAAAAAAAATTTCTCTCCCTCAAAAATTTTCACCTCCCAAAAATTTTCACTTTTCAAAAAAATTTTCCCTATTTCAAACAAAACACAACAATTTTGACCCAGGAAAGAATTCCAATCTACTGTATCTCTGGAAACAGTTTGGCAAAGATTGAAGATCAGATCTGGTAGTTTTAAAAGCGTACTGAGTTATTCCAATTACTTTATAGTCCCCCCATTGGAAAACTTTGTCATGAATCGTGTACTTGGTGATTATTTTGAAACCTTGCTGTATAAAATATTTGTTTCAATTGATGAACATACCAACATAGCTGAGGTGAGATATTGTGCAAGAATTACTGTAGTGTATATTTATTAGACCCTGAGCATGACTGCTCAAGCAACTATGAAGCATTTGCTGAATAACTTGAAGTGCTAGACAGATAGACTGATAGTCTTTAAATAAGATCAAAGGATGTTGAGGCCAACTCACAGATGAGATCAAATGAAAGTGACAGAAAGAATTAGAGCAGTTTTCAGTTATTTTTGCAAACGGACACCGTGTGAATTTTGCCATTTGTCATGCTTCTTTTGCCATATCAAAAGAACGAACGCGTGCTCCAGCCCGATTTCCAGTTCTGAAAGGCCTGATTCGCAGGCAAACAGTGCGCGCAAAGCAGGCTGGTCATTTCCCATTGTTTAACTGCCCCACACTCACGTAACAACCTCTGAGTAACCACAAAGTCAAAAATGTGAGTCAAAAATTAGTATTACATTTGAGCAAAATATTTAAAGAACAGGAATTTTCAGGAACAAGATGTTTCACTTATTGTATTTTAATTTCTAGCTATCGAATGTTCTTCAAATAGATCTGCAGCTTGTAAAAGTAAGTAACTGCGTTTGAGTGTATTGTTCTGTGGGGTCAAGATGGAGGGCATATTGGGGGGGGGGAGGGGATGCTTCATATTAGAAGACATACGGTTCATACAAGTAAAGAGACAATGAAAATCTTTTCTCTGCATAGGATGCTGTCTCTGTTTATTGTCGTCTTGGATTTGCATTCAGAAAAGACAGCGAAACTGAAGATGTGGAACTTCATCCATCATGGCAGAATATAAATAGCTTGTCTCCGCGACGGTATGATGGAGGAAATTATTTCTCAATTACAAAAAATACTTGCCTTGGGACATCCCAACATCTTGAAAGTACATGGTATCCCGAAAAGGTATACCCAGGGTACCCTTTCATTTGTCATTGTAAATATTTTGTAGATCTTACAGTCGTGAGAATATACTGATTGATCTAAATGGTACAGCAACATCTTCAGAAACATCGTCGGTGAATGATGCGATGGACGGGGACTCCTCTCCTGCTCAATGTGCCACGCCTACGTTAGGTACAATCTTGAACTATTTGCAGCAGTGTAGGTAGTAGAGACCTTACGATGCGGGACGACAACGTGACGACGACGGCTATTCATTATTATTATTATTATTTAAATATATTTATGCTAATGCACGGTGACCTTTCAGTTTCCTGTTTTTCAAAGGGCCGTGCTTTAGTCAATTTACACGCAATAAAAACCTATAATTATAGGAACTATAGTATCAAAAATCATGCAACGTAATATTTAACAAGATATTTACAAATATGGTAACATGCAATAACGCGTTCCATTACAAATAAATTTTGCACAGGTTTTTCCACCTTCAATTATCGTGGTTCTGAATTAGTCGTTTGAATGAATTTAGTGAAAGACTTTCATAATTGTCAACAATTTCGCTAGGAAGATTATTCCAAGACGCTGCTCCGCGATATGGAATAATTAGATTACAATGAGATTCATACAATGAGATTCATAATATTTAAGAAAAAAAATGAATAATTAAAATCCCACGGGAGTTTGAGACGTCATCCATAGCCTGTTTACAACGGGAAACTACAGACTTTTACGTCTTGGATAAAACGTCTGCATTTCAAGACGCGAGAAGTGATACTCGGCAAATTAGCTCAGTACTGCAGTAAAACTTTCTCAACAATAAAGCCACTACTGCAAGCTAACCAAACAGTATCATTTCTGTATACTTTTAGATATGGTGAATGGTCCCGGGAAAAGGATAGCATTTCTGTTCGACTCTGCATTAACAGCTTTCCTCATGATGGGCAACCTCTCGCCTGTGAGTTTTCTCTTTGTATTTCTATGTTTTATAGAAGTGGGGACATTTAACCGTGAACTCATTGACAAATATTTTTTTCAGGGTTTAAAGAATCATGCTGTTACGATGTTTGAAGTGGGCAAGCTCAGTGATGAGTCTCTGGACAGTCTCTTGTTAGAACTTGAGAAGGTACGATCCAAGGTACGGATTATCCGTCAAGACCAGCGAAATGATTACAACTGGAAATCGTCCCAGTCTTCTCAACGCATGCGAGAGCGCGGTCAGTCAGTCGACACGAAAATCCGAAAATAACAAAAGCTTTGTGCCTCCAGGCAACAGCCCTTCATGAACGGTGGATATTACTTTTATTCACCGGTGAATAATAAAATCGTCGAGTGATAAAGCAAAAATTATGGACTTTTTTGTTTTGTATGTCCTCTTTGGCACTTGGTATATAATAAAATACTTATTGACTGGAACTTTCGGAAACAGTGTGGTTTGTGGACCCTCGACTACCTATGTTTGGCAGTCCCAGGTACGCAAGACATACTGTTTCCCTCGGCCCCAGTTTGCGGGTGTTAAATACAGTATGTCTGATTCTTCATTGGTGTCCAGGTTGGTCGTGAAGCAGAAGATGAAGCCGAAGGTGAAGCTGAGAGATATTTCCATCACGCTATCACATTACGCAATACATTGCTCTTCTTAAGATATAATAAAGAATTATTTAAAAATGACGAAACTCTACCTCCCATGGGTCTTGGTAAGTTGAACGTCTTTCTTCGACGCTTTCAATTACAGCCGTATACTGTACGTGTTGTGAATCATAACAGGGTTTTTTTTAATGTCATTTTTACCATTCTCTATTTTTATTTCACAACAGATATGCTTCGATGTGAAAGTTTAAACAGTCTGGACGCTGCCGCTTGTAGTCGAGTTCTGCAAAAAAATTACAGGTGCAAATTTGCTTTATGTGTTTTATTGTTGCGTCTTCGTCGTTGCTGCTGTTGTTGCAGTTGCTATTATTGTTGTTGCTGTTTTCGTTGTTGTTGCTGTTGTTGCTGCTCTTTCGTTGTTGTTGCTGTTGTTGTTGTTGTTGTCGTTGTCGTTGTTGTGTCTATAACTACAGTTGCTATTGTTGTTGCTGCTCTTTCGTTGTTGTTGCTGTCGTTGTTGTTGCTGTCGTCGTTGTTGTTGTTGTTGTTGTTGTTGTTGTTGTTGTTGTTGTTGTTGTTGTTGTTGTTGTTGTTGTTGTTGTTGTTGTTGTTGTTGTTGTTGTTGTTGTTGTTGTTGTTGTTGTTGTTGTTGTTGTTGTTGTTGTTGTTGTTGTTGTCGTTGTTGTTGTCGTTGTTGTTGTCGTTGTTGCTGTCGTCGTTGTCGTTGTTGTTGTTGTTGTGTCTACAACTACAGTTGCTATTGTTGTTGCTGCTCTTTCGTTGTTGTTGCTGTCGTTGTTGTTGTTGTTGTTGTTGTTGTTGTTGTCGTTGTTGCTGTTGCTGTCGTCGTTGTCGTTGTTGTTGTTGTGTCTACAACTACAGTTGCTATTGATGTTGCTGCTCTTTCGTTGTTGTTGTTGTTGTTGTTGTCGTCGTTGTCGTCGTCGTCGTCGTTGTGTCTACAACTAATTATATATTCAATGTAATTCCAGTGTTTTGTTGTCCATGGCTCCATTGAGCAGTGAAATACGGCCGATTGTGAGCTGTGATCCACCTCATATTGGCCCTGCCATACCAGAGGTAATTAAATCATGTTTTTTAAGCTATTATTGATTAGTTTAATTTATGTCTACTGTGGATGTGACGTCATTAAATTATACAGTAACTATGATCGACAACAGATTGAAAGTTGTCAAATTTTGGAGAAAAAAACAACTTTAACTGGTCTCAACATTCTTTCAAATCCCGGAAGACATATTAAGTTTTACTGCAATTTCCTTGTACAGGTGAATTCAGTTTGGTTCAAGTTGTTTCTCTATGAAACGACAGGATCAGGACCTCCCTCCATGCTCATTGTGAAAGGATCTCGACTCAGACGACTTCCTAAAATATTTGAGGTAAACTAATGTGTTTCACCATGTCTGAGGATCAGGATATCAGAAAATTTTCTTCCTGGAGACAAACATTTCCTGCAGACCAACGGAGTATTTTTTTTGCTAAATCTGGGCATAAACATATAGTGTTCTAGCTGACCATTGTTTTAAATTCAAGGAATAATGTCTGTCAACCATACAGTATGTTGTTGCGCCCATAGTGTTAAGGTTTCCAAATTTTCAATAGCAAATCTTCATTCAAACGAATCTGCAGCTGTTTAATTAACATTTCCTGAGAGCAGTGCTCACCTGTTTTTTCCACCCCTGCCCCCCCTCCCCCCAGACTACCATAACACACTTTCTTTCCTTCTTTTATTTCAGGGTTTTGATAGACTGCTGATCGCGACGTGGGGACATGATCCAACTCCAGTACCCGTCTCGAATGTACTTGTGGCTTTAAATGACGCACTTACACATTCAGCTGTCCTCATACAGGTAAGTTAGATTCACCAGACGTAGAAAGCTTTGGATTGATAGGGATGCAACTACACGGAGAACTTCGACGTTTCGAGCCCTGCCTTCGTCGATCCTTACTTAGGTTTCCTCAATTCTTTGTGCACGGAAACACAACTCTAAACTAGTAGAAATTCCTCCCAGTGGACCTCTAGAAAGTTCATAACCTGGATATTGTATTCTTTCAGGGTTACGGAATGCACCGTGAAGGAAAGATTCACAGAATATCATTTCCTTTAAAAGCGAGCAAAGAAAGTCAAGAAGGTATTGTGACACATTTTTTTAGGGGAGCTCAAGCAAGCGTCGTTTTTGTCACCACGGACACAGAATAAAGACATACAGAAGTGTAACTTCCATTACAGAACCGTAAGGCGCTTTTTACCGAAATAGCTGGCGGCCATGTTCTTAGCAAGTGCCCTAAAGAGAGGCATTCACCCCCCTGGAATATTAAATTTTCAATATGTTTTCAGGGGGGTGACTGCCTCTCTTTAGGGCACTTGCTAAGAACATGGCGGACTGAAAAAATCCCTTACGCACTTTTAATAAGAAGATACACTTCTGTATGTCTTTATTCTGTGCCACGGACGTCAGATTTCCGAGGGGGGACTGGATTAAAGACTGTGTTTGTATCAGTTTGTGGTAATCTTCAACACACATGACATAAAATAAGATTTTTCAAGTCTACAAAAACCCTTCAATATTCAGTTCTATCGAGTGAGATGCTGGATGTTTACCAATATACCATATAATAAGGGTAATATTGAATATTCTGGAGCCGATTGTTCAAAGCTGGGTCAGCTTAACCCTAGGTTAACCTGAAATTCAAAGCAAACTTCCTGACAGCTTGTCTATAAATTTGGAAATATTTCTTCAGAGATCTTGTCCGGATCGATACGAGTTTACTTCTCTGAAGTTTTGAAATAAACAGACGTACAGAAATACACAAACTAAAACAGCAGGTTAAATTTTAACCCAGGGTTAGCGCTAATCCACCTTTGAACAACCGGCCCTTGTGCGAAAACCTTTTATGGCATCACCAGTACATGTACAAGAACTTGTGGTTAATGCCAGGCAAGTGAACTCACTTGCACGGGAGCCGCAAGGCTGCTGCAGCTTTGATTCCCATCGGAGAGCCTATGGCTGCATTTTCGCAACCGTCCTCCGTCTGGACTAAGGGACCGGCCGTTATTTATGGCGGGGGGTGGCACCGAAGAGAAAAGGGTTGGGTAAACTAAATTTTGAGTAAGTAAAAGGTTGGGTAAATGAAAAACAAAACAACTCATGGGTTGGGTAATAAAAATTTATATATTGTCATTTCCAAATATTGGAGACTAAAAAGCAATGTCAACAGTAGCTCAGTCATATGTCAATACAATATGTGAATCAATCAGAGTCACTATCTTGATCATTTCCCAATATGTTGAGAGACAAATGCTGTCTCCAAAGAAAGTACATGTGCAGACAATATGAAACTTTATACTGCAGAAAATTTCACAAGCAGTTATCAAATTCATGTCACAGAAGTGGTAAAGGACATGTGTGACAACTGAATGGTATCCTTTTGTAAAGTTTTTGGCCAGGGGTGGGTCTTTATTTTTTAATTGATATTTGAGGTTGGGTAATCAAATTCCTGACTTTTTAATGGTTGGGTCAGCAAAATTTTTGCCACGAAAAATATTTCTGAACA